ATATATATATATATATATAAATAAAAAATGAAGTATTAGGTGCTGCCGTTTTTAAAGTCAAACTTCATTATTAGGCCAAAACACCTTAGCTGGCTGCTGTGATACATTTCATTTTTGAATCTTTTAGAATGCCAGAACCCCTTTTTCTGTAGCTTATTGGCAAAGCCCACACAGAAAGGGGCTGGGCTTGGCTTTGTGAAAGCAAGCCCTGCTTATAGTACTGATCCTATAGACATCATACATAATTTTATGCTTATACAATGACAAAGTTTTCTGCAGCACATTTTTTTGGGGGGGGCATGGGTTTTTTTGGGGGAGGGGGGTGGTGTTTGGTTTGTTTTTTAATGCAAGTCTCTGAAGCACCATCGATCCGTAGACCAAGCTTTTTACTGCAGTGCTTCTGTGTGCAAAGGCTGGGTGCCAAACATTGTGTTTAACAACAGGACTAAAGTTAAGCAGATACATAAGAATTAGTGACCAAGACTTATTTAGCTACCTTCAACAGTTCGTCTTCCCCTGGTAAATTTATTTCAGCTTGACTTGATTAACACAGTATTTAATGGGGAGTCAAGGGAGAAAACCAGATGACACTAGCAGAATTAATACCCAGTTAAAGAAAAATCAGAAAACCTACTAAAAATTGAAGTTGATGGTAAATAACTTGTTCTTATGACAAACAACTGACATTTACAGGACAAAAAAGTAAACCTACAAAAACCACTTGCCCTGTTTTTCCTTGTAATAAAGTTAGTAACATTTCATTCCTTTTCATTAACCTTAGTATTCTATTTAAATTGTCATAATTCATAAGTTGAAATTCTTAAGAAGAAAAATCTACAAGTAAATACTGAACTGTTCAGCAGCACAAAGGTAACAACTCCAAGCACATCGAGTGTCACACCCCTTCCTCCCAACACAGCCTGAAAGAGCCGACTGCGCATCTCAACCAAAACAGTGAAGTGGAACTAGAAGTTTTGCCCTCTAGGCTTAGAGAAAGAGGAAAATAGGGAAAGCATTAACAGTGGAGGCTCAAGCTAGAACCATAAATTGGCCTGTAACATATCTTCACATTTTTGTCACCAGAATAACAGCTAAATAACCCATAATTTGTTATCTTCATATAAGATAACTTATTTTTTCTTATAATACTTACATTGAATTCAGTAGCATTCTAGCTTATAATATTTTCAATTTCTTTATTATGAATATATTCAACTTTGTGAAATGCTATGATTTCTTGGAATAGTAGAATTGATAAAAAATATAGTCCATATCACAGTCATTTAAGGATAATAGTGACTAAATGCACCACTCATTAAATTAATATTTCAGACTGTAATTTGCAGAGACTAAAGCGCAATTAAATATCTCTTCTCCATTTTCCTTTTTCAAATATTCCGTAATCAAAGTATGGCAGCAATGTATTAATGCAAATATCCAGAGCCTTACCTGCTCCATTTCCACCAGCATTTCAGGCATTGCCTGCAACTACAGAAGGAATTATCAGCCTAGGAAGTTATTGCAGTTCAACCGCGCATTTGTCCCTTTGTCTGCAGAGAGCACATAGACTGGAAGAAGCAATAGCTCAGTTGACCTTTGAGACCAAAATGCTAATCTAAGCCCTGTATCACATGTGGCACCGAATCCTGTTAAGCTTTTGGTTTATCCCCAGTGGTACCATTTAAGCACCTCAGTATGAACTTAAATTTTTACTTCATAACAGCCAGCATGAGCAAGCGCAGCCATTGTGTGCAGAGAATTTATTCAAAGCCCTGGCACCAAGTCTTATGCAGTTTTCCTTTTATAGGAAACAGGAGGAGGGCTCTAATTAGGTCAGTCATGTTGAGGATTTGAGCAGCTCTTCATTTAACATTTAAACTAAGCACAACACAGATCTTGCGACAATACAGTGAAATGGATGATCAGAGAAATAATTTCTTGTTAAGTTATATATTTTTCCAAATAAAAAAAAAAAGATATGTTCCACAACATGAAAGTAATTGATTCCTGGAGTGAATACTTAAAGTCAGTTGATCTACCAGTATCAAGATTTCAGTTTTTAAACACATTTCACGTGTGCATGAAACTGGCAGAACCACTTCAATTGAAGTTGACACAAAGCACTCAAAATTTCCCCTTTAATTCCACTCTTTACTTCACTCCCCTGTCTGCTCTACATTATTTACCTATATTTTAAAGCTAAAACAACCCCCAACACTGCTGTAAGGCTAGCATAGTTATTTGCAAGTTTCCCCTATTCTTTTTGTCCATGTAAGCATGCTACTGATAGTCCAAAAAGGATTTAAAATGACACCTAGGCAAAACTGACAATTAAGCTACAAAGCTGTAAGAATTGACTGTACAAAAAAAAAAAAACAAACCTCAAAACAAAACAGTATGCAGTCATCAGAGCACAGTCCTGGGGTATCTGCAGTGTTTTGGTTCACTCAGTATACTTTCACTCTGATACACTCTTGCTAATTTGATGCAGGACATGTCAAACACCAAAAATGAGGCTCGGTTTAAAAAGTACCTTAACTCAGTGTCCCCATTTCCATGTCTGAGTTTGGTAGAACCTTCTGTTAACATTCACTTGCTCTAATCTTCCTTGAAATAAAAGGTTTATTTATATTTGGCATGAAGTCTTTTCATCCAACATTGACATTCCAATTTATGAATAGTGATTTTGCCTTTAAAATCCCTGTGTAAGTAGAATGGCACAGGAAGTGTGCCACTTGCAGCAACCCTGCATGGAAGATGAATGCCATCTTATAAGGAAAAACTCAAGTATAACAGCTGTCAAGTGTTACTTGTACTCTTCCATTTTCAGTAGTTTACATGTTCCTCCCCCTCCACTGCTCTTTCCTCTGCTGCTCACTAGACTGAGTTGGGTTTAACCAACTGCTCATTTCACATCTGCCAACTAGTGGACAGACAGGCAGTGTAACATCAGGATTCCTACTAAGACCATGTTCTCATCTGATGAGTCAGACTAATGCACATTTCCTCTACAGTTTCCTTTTACCCTATTTACATCTTTCAGACAAGAAAACTTATTTTTCTCCACAAGGAGAAAGAACTCTACGATTACATTCTTTCAGGAACTTCCTTATTAAAATACACCTCTCAACACTGCAGGCACCCTAAGTGAACACTAGTTATTTCTCAATTCAAACACCTGCATGGAAGATGAATGCCATCTTAAGTTGTTAATACTAATCCTCTGTCTTCAGAAGTAAAAGTGATCTAGCAAATACACAAAGATGGCATTAACAGACAAGACTTAGCAATTTCTTTTCTTGGACTTCATATGCATTTTTGGTATCTTATTTCCTAGGTATTATCAATTCTCTGTAAGCTTGTAATGTCAGTATAAATAGCAATATATTCCACACACTAAGCTTTGTGTACTGGCTCTCTGCAGCACTCTTATGCAGGATAGCAGTAGATACAGTAACAAGAACAGAGTTCCACATTTCACTTAAGTTCTAATATTTACTTTTATATTAACAGAAATTCACAGGAAATGAGAGGTTAAGGGAATTGCAGGTTGTGTTGTACAGTTCAGCTTAAATAATTTACTCCATAAAACTAAAGAATATATAGTCTTTGATGCAAGACTAACACTGGGCTTTGTTATGAAGATTTAAGACTAGAACAAAGAACACAGTCAATGAACACTACATAATTTGATTTTGTTTTTTATCCTTTGTTGTGAAGGAAATAGGCAAGTTATTTCAATTAAAACTTTTATTGTGCTAAAATGTTCTTAATTGTAAATAACGTTAAACAGATTCTTTCCACCTTGGCAAAATTCAAGTCTATACAACGGATGCATGTACAGTGGGCATCCTCCCACCCAATTAAGACAAGTTCTGCTGTTACCCACTTCACATAGCATTGATCAATTACAACAACTGCCTACAAAGATACTAAAACAGCTGAAGAGTCCAGCTGTGAGTACAGCATTCATAAAATACACATTTTTCATGAGACTTATCTTCGCCACGGTATGCAAACATGTAGGTAAATGTAGGCCATTTGAGTTTGACCTGAAAAATCCTCTTCTGAAGATCAACAGCTGCAATATCTAGCCCCAGGATTTAAATTAGCATGCCCTCAATATAGATCCCTTTAAGAATATAAAAGCTAACTGTATAGTCCAGTTTTCTACAATGGTTCTGTATAATGTAGGCCACAAAGGAAGAAGGGTCTTTTGGCAGCATTCCTGACATTGGTATTTAAACAACCATAAATAGCAAAAGTAATCTAACATAAAATTGTAAATATGAGATAGATGTAAAAAAAATATGAAATCAGATTTCATTTGTAATCCTTATTTCTCCAGTGCTTATTCACCTTTTGTGAACTTCAGCTGCTCTGTCGAAAACAAACTAAGCAGCTTCAGCATACCAAGAAAGTGAGAGAATGAACACTTTTTGAAGTTCAAGAGTGTGATGGCATTACCGTGAGTCTGGAACATACCCTCACCTATGGCCCATCAGTAAAAGTATAATCAAGCACAGTTTTTCTAAAAATATATTATTTTAGACAATTTCTCTAGTACTCCTGCTAATTTATATTATACACAGCATTCAAGTTCACCTTGAACAAGTGGTCTGTTGAAGTCTTCTGTTGTACACGAATTTATTGGCGATTTATGGTATTTTTCATAATACCAAGAAGAGATTAAATTTTGTTTTTATTACCTGCAATGGAAAAGTGTTACTAAGTCTGTGTTTTTCCACTATTGTTCCCACATCGAGTAATTATTTTTCTGCTGAGGGGAGGAAGGCACTACCCCCCACATAACAGGCAAGCCAGAATTTCACACAAGAGATGCCATTGTCCTTCCTTCCCCAGATGCAAGCCTGTCATGCCGTCTGTGGTTAAGTTTAAGAGGTACAAGGATATGGTTACATCAATATCTAAGCTTACCTTCTTTAAAAGGAGTTTTTGGAGGAATATTTTCCTTGCTATCATGCTGGGAAGCTTTGGAAGGATCAAAATGCTTAATGCCCCGAATTGCATATAGCTGATCCTGAAGATCTCTGTTGGTTTGCTTTTCTTTTGCTAGCAATGCACGCAGTTTTGAGACATCCTAAAGAAAACATAGCACTTGGAAGTTAGATTAAGAACAGGGAAAAGCCTGCTTCATCGTTTACTAAATTAGCCCTTTTGACTAAGGCTAAGCACAAACATACATACACAATTATTGGTGGCATTAAAATACAAACAAAACCAAACATACAGGTGTAGAGAAGCCAGCACCATTGTATAATTGCTGTATAACACCCCTAAGCAGTATGGGAGCCTGAAACTTTCAGGTGTTGCTTTCAGCAGCTAGTTTATCAAGTCTAGAACCTCCAAAAGAGGTATGAAAAGTAACCAAGCTAAGAGTAGGGATAGTTATTTGCACTAGTGATCCCTCTGTACGTCATATATTCAGTTGAAACTGAAACAAACTCTCTTGCTGTTTCTGGAGTTCAGCAGTTTGTCCCAATTTAGCTCTTGCAGGGAATTTAACAACCACAGTAAGTCATTTGCAAGATTAGTCTATAAATATTTAGAGCACAAAGGAATCAAGCAGATTAATAACTTAGATTTCTAACTTTTCATTTCACAAACCTGCTTCAGGTGGGTATTCTCATCCTTCAACTTCATAACATGCTTGATTTTTTGCTTCTGGTTCTGGTGGCCAAGTAGTTTAGCATATGCATCACTTAGCTTATTCAGTTCTTCTTGGGCCGCACCGTGCTCGTTTAAAAGTGCATTCTTCTCTGCTTCAAATGCATCTAGTTGTTGCTGAAATACATATAAAATCTTTTAGAAAAAAATTAATTAAACATAGGTTTTTACTGAACCGAAAACTGCAAAGAAAGACTAGTTTGGGAAGGGGACTAGCTGGCTCAAGAGACAGCAACTTAGAAAACCACTGCAGGATAAGTGACTTTGAATGGGAAGCAACATTTACTTTTCAAGAGTAGAACCTGAGTCAACTGCACAAGTCTTAAGTCAACAGATACTAATAAACATCTACTTCATAACACACCTGAAAAGGCTTAGTTTTGTTATGTAAATCTTCATACAGATTACGCCAGGTCTTTATCTCTTCTTTCAAGCTAGAGGTCACATCTTCATTTATGGTTTTCCTAAAAAGCAGGAAGTGGAGTTTCATTATGTTCATTGTTAGCTCTCAGCACTTCTTCACACTAAAACTTTGATGTGCTACAATATGCATGTTTACTCTGAGAAAAGTCACCTTGATCTTTCGACTTCAAGTTTTCTTTTCAGATCTTCAGTTTGCTCTTCCAGTTTTTCCTGAAGTTTAGTCATTTGTGCAAGGCAAGACTCTTTTGTTCTCTCTGTTTCTGCTTCTTTTAGTGCAAGCTTTGTCTGAACTTCTAAAAGCATCCTGAGGAAAATAACATCCATCCTTAATGAACTCTTCTTTTAAAAAAAAAAAAAAAAATACTACTCTAAATCTGAAACTCAAGTAACCATCATTGAAAAGCTGTTAGCAGAAGAACCAAAATAAAGGTTTGCACAAACAGTGCTACATGAGAACAACAATACAGAAAGCAATCAAGTCCAAGAGGTAAAAAATTTTTAACTTGTCCTATGAGGAAGCAAGCAGTACTTTTGAAGCAAGGAAAGCTCATGTTTCTTATTTATGGCTCTTTAATGCCAGCAGTTTCTAGTGGAAGGCACTTTAGTAGTTAAGACTTCACATGCAGAGGTTTGCTCAAGCAGGAACTAGTCAAGACTGCTGTCCAGTGTGGATGGATTCAAGGGTTCAAAAACTCTACACCTAAAGCATTGCCTTCCTTCTCCAGCCTCAGCTGTTTGTTATATCACCTAAATGGAGACCAAGAACCCCTTCCCTGCCAGACTGAACCAGCAAATCAAACAGGAGATAACTCTTCAGCTGTTTTTCTTTCACCAGCTCTAATGGAAACTGGAGGCAGTATTAAGCAGATGGAGAGGAAAGAAAGGGCAACATCTTAGGTAGCACAGGTGTTTTAAAATAAGCTGGAGCAAGCTTGGACAACATTAATATACTGACTATGGGTGAACAAGACAGCAGAAGCATTGCAAAACTTTCCCAAGGCATTTTATAAATCAGCAAAGAGATAGAGTTGGGAAGATCAGAAATGCCCAACTCAGTTCGACCAAAACAGCATTTTCATGCAGTTAAGTCATTTATCCACAGGCAACAGTCAAAAAGATTAGAGAATAGTTGTTGACTTAAATCCAGCTTCAACTTCAGAAGCTAGCTAGGGACTACATTAAAAGTGGGGCAGGAAATCTTCCAGCACATACACAATATGTTCTGTAATGCAACTCACATACAGGCAGTTATCACCATTGTCTCATACGGGTGATTGTACATTGGGACCTTTTAGGACCAAACTCCCCCTCTTCCTCAAATAGTCAGTTACTTGCTCACAGCAAGGGACTTACTTATGCTCTGTGCAGTGAGCTGGAAGGAGAACATAAGCCACTAGCTGAGGACATGTTTCTCTGACTGTCTTAACAGCAGCTCAGTGGTGTAAGACAGCTTCTGAATGTTTCTACTTATCAGCAGCACTGTGGCACCTCATATTAGGCACAGAGGACCTCTGTTCACCTCCCTGCAGTATGGTAATTCATGGGTTGTTAATTGGCATCTCCTTGTGAGCAGAGTTTGCTGTGTGCTTTGCATTATTTGTTTGTCTGCCCCTGTGAATCTTATTTGTGGAGCAGTCACTGTAACAGATATTTCTGATAAAGACAATATTCCAACATATTTCAGTTAGGTATTTTCCTCTTCCTATATGTTCCATATAAAGGAAAAATTCAAAGCAATTGATTGAACAGATCAGTTTTCTAATACATATAAACTTAATATTAATTTTGTCTGTCAATATTTTCAACTCTCTGCTCTGAGAAAAGGAAGAAACTTCATCTTACACCAAATACTGTTTTTATTTGGTAGAGCAGCATGTTAAGTACTAGTTAAGAAAGCAAGCCTCAGCTGGCATTCTTTAGCTTAAGGAAAAGTTTGTCCGTCTAGTACCTTGCACATTCTTCTTTTGCTTTATTTTTAGTGTATTCTGCTTCCTGAAGCAGCTGTAGATTATCTTGGCCTATTTTTTTTAGGTTGGCAACTTCTTCTTGCAGAGAGGTGTTCTCTAGTTTAAGACTGCTTATTTCTTCAGCTGTTGTTTTCTTGTAGCTGGTATTAGAATACAAATAAGAAAAACCTTGTTATTTTAGACAAAATATAGATTGACATGTTCAGGATTACAAGAGCGATACAAGCTCATGTTAACAAGTATAAGAGATTTTATAATCTGGAGATATGGCAGTGTTTTGACACTGGTAAATCCAAAGTTAAAAAAAAAAAAGCACATTTCCATAAAGCCCTAAGCAGTAACACTATGACAAATTCCACGATACATGTTTTGTGTTTGAATATCTACCAAAATGTGAAAAGACCTACTACATCTGAAGCTTATTTTAAACACCAAAAGACCTACTATCTACAGCTTGCATTGGCAGATATTCACCTTGATCCTTCATGGGTGCCTTGCATACTTCACAATAACAGTATCACTTTTTAAAAACTTCCATAACCTGTGTATTTTGAGAAGAAATATCTGCAAGAATTGTAAGAAAATAATCTCGATTCAGTGCAATTTAAGCCTAAACAAGAAGTCTTTTTGCAACAGATTTTAGTGCAAAAACAAACATCACTAGTTACAACTCTCACTGAGATTCAAATGCACTTGAGTATTCTAACTAGTTGCACTTTGGAAGAAGAAACATTCAGTTTCCTGAACTAGATACTGAGTATGGCATTACACTTGACTACTACTAAAAGGGATAAATCGATTTCTTAATGGCATTAAGTAGTCCATCACAAAATTCTCTTCTCTAGTACTGTACCAAAACTCATATACAGTGTTAAGTATCAAGGCACATCGATAGACAGTATAATTAATTGTAATTTCAGAGATAATCCCAGTCCTAGATCTTAATGAAACTTAAATACCTTTCAAACTCAGCAACAGTCTTTCCAAGTTTACGCAGTGTATTGCTATGCTCTTCTTGGATTTGCAAAACAGCATTGCTGTGCATTTCTTTGATTTGCTCCAACTCAGCATTCTTCCTGAAATAAAAATTCAGCATTCCACACTGGAGATAAGCATGTCTGAACATACTACCAAATGCTGTCGTCAGTTACAAAATGCTTGCTGCAGCAGCAAGAAATTGATTGTGACAAACCAGTACTTTGCCACAACTTCAAGTATTAAAGCATAATCTTCACAGCATATTTAACTAAGCATTTCCCCCTCCCCTTATTTTCCAAGCTAGCTATAGAATAGGTCAAACACCTAGCAGTAAACTTTCAGCATGTGAAAGGAAGAAAAACTTGCCTGAAAATCTTTCCTAGTCATTGCCCTCTCCAGGGCAGAAACATCCAATGACATGCATGTAGCTTGCCCTTCACAGTAACATCATACTAGTACAGTACTGGCATTTCAAGCAAGTCTTAGCATGCTGATCAAACAGTTTTATATTAAGACAGTATAAAACAGATTCAAGTCATACAGCTGGCTCAGACCACTAATCAGCAACCAGCAAGAAATACATTTAGATCTGTTCAGGTCTCTTTAAAACCCGAATTAGGCTCAGAAGCTTTGTTTATGCCACAGATTTAGCATTTTTGCTTTCAAAGTTTTAGGATCAGAAAGTTTATTTCACAAACCCTTTCAACTTTACTTCCATCTGTGCAAGTTCAAGAGCTTGAGATTTGGTTTCTTGTTCCAACCACTTCACCAACTTTTCAGCTTTCTTCTCCTTAGCATGTAATTTATTCAGCTCATTCATTGTATCATTCAGCTCTTCTTCAAGAATATGTCTCTCACTTGTTACTTCATCTTGAAACTCTAGTAACTTCTGCTGCATTGATGCAGATGACTCCTGCATGCCAGAGTATCACAGATTTTAAAGCTACTAGTACTTATCTAGATATTAAATACTAATTTGCAGTGTTCAAACTTCAAAGCACAATAATATGGTCAAATCTACAGGAAGAACCAAAACACTCATCATACCAGCTATGATTCTTAGGTGAGAGCTATTGGACCACACACAATTTCTGCTGGTCAGCACTCGTACATTCCAGACTAGACCATCATTAATACAGCAATCTCATGTATAACCAAAATCAGAACCTTTAGTACCAATCATTGGTATTAGAGTCTATTTTTAGACAAATTTACAGTCTGTATTTACCTTCTCTTGCTGCAGCTGAGAAACCAGCTCTTCATGCTTCTGAAGCAGTTTTTGGTGTTCTTGTTCTCCTAAGCCAATTTTTTTTTTCAGGTCTTCTATTTCAGCATTCATAGTCAGAAATTTTCCTCTACTCTCAGACAACTCTTTCTCTGCATAGGGAAATTGTTAACATAAATTCCCTTCTCTGTCTTCAAAAAGCTACAACATCTATTCTTCATAGTACTTCCATTCTAGCTTTAAAGTTAGTTAGGCAAGGTGGGGAATGGGGAGAAACTCAAAACAAAACCACACCTTTAACCCATCTGGAAACTCCACAAAATTGGCAGAAAGTACACCACTTTTGAAATTATTTTACGAGCAGGAATCTTTGGATCAAGTAATTAACCTTCATGAGAACAGCAGTAAGACTGAGGAAAAACAACTACATGGTTTCTACAAAGCTTCTTCCACATAATGCTACCACATACAAGCCAAGTGGCACACAGAGAACTGAGTACCAGTCTAAGGCTGCAAAGTTTCTGGTGAAAAAAGATTCTTAGACACATTCCCAACACCTCAATGAACTTGTGCACAAGCTGCTAACAGTGGATTGAGATGGTATCATACTGCTTCTCAATGAAGAGGAAAGGAACAAGTCATTTGTGTTCAGCTTTCAGATTAAAGCCATTCCTACTATGTAAACAATTTTCATTTCCATGCTTAGTTACCCTCCATGGAAATAAAAATTTAGATTTAACAGATGTCAGATTTAAGGTAGCTTCCATATTGTTAGAAATATGGTTAGCTGTTTTCAGCTAGAGCTCAGAGACATGACTTAACCCAGAGGAAGCCAGTCTAAACTGACATTTTGGAATAAACCTATCCGAGATGCTTTAAGACATACAAGCGTACAAGCACTAACAATTACCTTTTTCTTGTTCAAGCATTTGACAGTTTTCATTAAGTTCTTTTATCAGTTTAAATGATTCTTCCTCTTTTGTTTTAAGGGTATCCTTCAGGATCCCAATATCTTGGTCTTTCTTTATCAGTGTCTCCTCCATCTGGGCAACATCTAGTTTGTATTTCTCAACTGTTTCTGCAACACTGCTGTAGGAGAAAATTCAAGTATGTTACCACTAGATTTTGTTTCTAAGCTTACACTTCAGCACAAAGGAAAAATGCTTAGGACTGTTGGTTTCCAACAGGAAAACTGCCTTCACCTCCTTGCCCAGACACAAGTTTTTGCGCATTAAGACAGGTTAGTAAAAATTAAAAGCAATTTATTTCAATATTGATGTTTTGTTTTAAAAGAAACTTACACTATCACACAAATAAAATATAAAGGTTTGATTAAGACAGAATTAGTCAGTATAATTAATTTAAAGGTGACTGCTACATCCAGGATTTTTCTACATAGCTAAGTTTTGACAGAAAAGCATACGCATTAATAAACCAGATTTTACAAGAATAAGCAGAATCTTAAGATATAGAGCCAGTTAATGATGAAACTCTGAATGAGTAAATTGACAGTGGTGAAGAGTGAAATAGTTAAATATATATAGTTTTGTATTTTCACCATGTGAAAGGGACACATTACTGTGAAGAATGGTTAGTTTCAATCAGTTACAAAGGACTGAATTAGTAATTTTTAGAATAAGACTGATGTTCATAGATACTTAATTCATCACAACCCTTAAATGCAAATCCAAATATTGCAAAGTTCACTGGAAGCCAAGATTGAGGGCAGTTTTTTCCCTACTGTACCTTGTTTTACAAGCGAGGGATAAAAGACATTATTGCCAGTATCTTAGAGGAAAATGATTTAGCTTGATTTATGTACAAATAACTCGGGCTAAAAACATGATTTCAGCACCCTGATACAAAACACTTCCATAGTATTGCTTAGTCCAGAAAAGCACAGAGACATTTAGAAAGACAATTAAAATAATATCTTAGGACTCCTTTCCATTGTGTGGAAAAATACCTTATTTCCTTGCTCCCTCTATATCAGTACTGTCAAACAGAATTGTTACCCAGGTTCTACTTCACCAGTCATAAACAAGGCTTAGTTTTACTGCCTTTTAACTTACCCAGTCCAATTCTAGAACAATTTGTTGTTACCTGAGCTCTGTGATATATTCCAGGAGTTTTTCAGTGTCAGACTTATCTTCAACTTTTTCTCTCTCAGTAGCAGACCTAAAACCAGGAATTCTTAATGATGGCTGTGTTTAAACAATTCGGCAGTACTTGTAAGCTATTTGTTTACAGATAAGCAAGTAGAAATAAGTCACTGAATCACAACTTGGTAGTAATACATTTTTTTCATAATCCAATTTGGCTGACAAGCTGGTATTGGCTCTAACAAGTGGTTCTACCCTCTTCTGACACTTGCTCCATATGGTCTTCTCATTTGTAGTAAAGATGCTGATCCATATTCTGCTACAAGCAAGTATGTTAGAACAGCTGCATTAGTTAGACAAGTTATCAATGCCTCCCTTTGTAAATCACACTACTCACATTATTAGCTTTGTGTATTTTAACTCTAATGCAAGTATAAAAATTCTGCTCATATTTGAGCACTTGGATGTTAAGTAAATGCAGAAAGCATAAGGAGGATGCTGCAGTGCCAATCATGCAAAATTGGCATGAAATATACCTTTTAAGTTCATCCTTCTGAGGTAGCCATCCTCAGAAATAGCCTATATGTTAGCACACTGTTCCTGTGCAGCAAATTACATTGTTTGGACAGAACAGAAAGCGTTGGTTTGGAACTCTCTCTTCCTACATACAGCTGCTTCAGCCAAGACACTTCACAGTTGTCTTTCTTCAGAGAATGTGGCTACTATAAGGCAACTTGGAAGGCATCACAACTACTCTTCAATACACATTGCTGGAGAACACACATGTTCATCAAATCTGTGTAAAATGCCCGACTACTGCATCAGGATCTCAACTCCTGGTCCAATGCTTTTTCATTCTTGCTTATTCATAACTTACTAAAGGGGCAGACACTGAAGTATCCAATCTACATGAATGTCTTGCTCAAAGATGAACAATTCTTTTCGCAACATACACGTCCTCTCTCCCTACGTGAAAAAACTCCACCCATACCACAGTGGAAGACAAAGGGTTGAGATGATACAGTTTGTCTTTTGGAAAAAGGTTATATACACTAGAGGAACAATAATGCGTATGTTCATTTTATAAGAACACAACAATTCCTAAAACATTATTCCAGGACACAAGTGCTAATAATTTCAGTTTCTCCTCAGCAGGGAGATGGCTTGTATTTTCCCTAAACTAAGTGCTTACTATAAGGTATAAGGCATGTAAGCATAGGTAGATTATATAATTCATCTAAGTCAATTCCTTACTACTTACAGTTTTTCTTCTAACTGTGCTATTTTTCCTTTTGAATGCTCTAGATTCCTTTGCACTTCCTGTAGCTTCATTTCCATGTTTTCCTGCTTCGCAAGGGCAGTCTTTAAAAAAAAAGATAAATGTTACCACCAAAATGATTTAGTAAAAAAACCCACATATCTAAGAGACAGTGGTAAACAGAAATGAATTCGTAATTATAATTTAATGATAGCACTTGCTACTATGCAAAATGTGATTAAAAGTATCCCTCTGTAAAGATATTAGCCATTTGTTAAAAACATCCACCACCCAAAAAACTCAAACATGTATAAGAGTTTCAAACTATACTTAAGACCACTGGTTTTAAACAAAGTTAGTCTGACAAACAGATTGATATTTTAAGAGGTATTTCTAGGCTTCCTTACTTGAACTTGGATTTACTCTGCACATCAACAGCAAAACCAAGAACATTAATTGTTTGATCTTTCTCTGTTTTCACAGAAAGTAGAAGAAACTACCAAGCTGAGGACAGAACAAGACATGATCTGCAGTTCTGCTGTAAGCCCTTCCTTTCAGTTCCTGAACAACTCAGAATTACTATCCTGTGCAGTGCAAACAGTCATACCTTTTCTTTAGCATCCCTCTTGTTCCTGAGCTTCATTAACTCCACGCACAGGCTGCTCATTTTCTTCTGCACACCATCTTCAGACAGCTTATAGGAGATTAATATAAAAACACTAAGCATAACTCCTTCATGTGAATTACTCTTCACACAGTCTTTTAAAAGTGCTTCTCTCCTACCTACAACACTGATCTCAACTGGTCCTTGAGGCAGGTGTTAGCAAGTCCCACTCTGTCTTTAGACAGAAGCACACAAGATCCCAAACCAGACATGCTCTATCCCTGTGCCAATGAAGGGGCACAGGGGATGTGAAAACAGATGCTGATCAGCAGCTAAAGTCTCCTCTTGCTCAGGGAGCTTAATAACAGCAAAGGCAAAGCAAATATGCACTTATTTGTCTGAATACCTTTGACTTCAGCAGTTCATTGGTTCTTGTTAGTTCCAGTAGCTGTTTTTTTAGGCATGCAACATTTGCCAAAAGAGATGTTTTCTCCTGAACTGCAGCACTCAGCTTCGCTTCAATCTTAACAAAATCCTCATCCATGGCCTGAAGTTTTTTATCCTGCTCTCCACGCTCTCTCACTAATGCACGAATCTAAACCAAAAGAGGTATTTTCTTTATTTCCTACTATTATTTTTCTTAAATAACATTATTTATTTATGCCTGTGATTTTCTTGGATAGGCTAAGTATCCACACTGCATTAACTTCCATTCAGAATACATATTTTCAGCTTTATCATTGACAGGAAAGTAGATAACAGAAGAACCAATTATCTATTACTACACACCCCACATTTCCAGTCCTGACTTATTTTATCATCTGACCTATTTTATGCTACTGAGCCAGTACATGTTAAAGTTAACTTCAACTTGCAATAGAAGCTAAGTCTCCTATTTGGCTATGGAATACACAAAATGTGACATTTGAGACAAAAGGCATAGATTAGTACACAGAAGTGTATTAATAAGGAAAAGCTAGCTGCCTCAAACTTTAAAATTATGTCAATTATTAAGCAAAAATTTCAGGAAGCAGCTGTTAATAGAACCTTTTTTGTGGTGGGTACAGAACATAGGACATGGTTATCCCCTTTTTTAAAAAAAAAAGTTTAAAAAAGACTGGCTGCACACTGTTGACAATTGGGATTAATGTAATTCCATTGACAAATCAAACGTTTTCTACATACCATAACATTTTACAATCTCTGCTCTGCACAGAGCTGTTTGCAAACTACTTGCATGCTATGCTATGCAAAAGAGGCTAATTTTACCAGCTTGTGTTTTTATTATGGTAAGTGGGAAATATATTACAGGATTTCCCTCACATAGTGTATTCATACCTCCTTCTCCAGTGTCTTCTGTTTCTTTTTCTCTTTCATAAGGATATGATCTTTTTTAGGCTTCCAAGTCCCATTAGCTGGCTTTTGAAAACAGAAGTATTAGAAATATTTAGACTGATCTCTAGCTGCATACTAATTTAACACCACAGTTAAATATGAGTGGATGCCTTCATATAGACAATACTATTAAATGTACACACATACATAATAAAAAGCAAACATCTTTCCCACACAGAGTAGACAAGTATCAGGTTAGGATGGGTTTTACCATTGTACTTTCTCATAAGCATTGTGACAGGAAGGAGATTAACAAAGTTTAAAACATTAGCACTCCCTAAACTCCATAAAAAACATTTTAATCTCTTAACCACAGGTTTTTGCTTGCAGAATTTCAGCCTACATCATGAGTACTAGTAAACTAAATTAAAGACAAGGTTATGATTTTTCAACTTATTAGCCTATACATCTTCAAATCTATATCCTCACACATGGCACTGAGAACTTGTATATGCAGTATCACCCCCTCTTTGTTTCTTTTACCACTAGGTTTCTGCCCCTGCCCACTGTATGAAAGCAGAAACACAATCTTAGAAAGAAGCAACTGCATCATAATTACATCGTAAGCAAAAGGCAAAAAGATCCCAACATTGTAACAACAAAGACAACAAGCCACTCCATAGTCCCAACTAACCATCATACGATTCCCAGCGACACTGCAATTTCTTTTTTTCCTTCTCAGTTACTAAGGAATACAGGCACAATAATGTGTTGCATAGTTTACTCAGGTAGGTTAATAGTAATTGTATAAAGGGACTGTGTGATTTAACTAGTCACAGTGAGGTTTAGCTGGAATTTAACAGTGCTACAGACACCACAGAAGAGCCTTACTGTTGATCCAAGAGATGCGAGTCTCCTTCCAGTTATGGGGGTAGGTGCACTCTTCTCACTGTTCAAATCTGCCTCACCTGCAGAGGAATGCAGAAAAGAATGATGAAGGAAGAGAGTGTGCATGGTGAGGGAAATTTAACCAAACTAGACAAGGTTAATTGACTTTTTATACAAAAGACAGAATGCCACCTGACTATTAAACTATCCACTTCACAACCCAATGCCAGCTGTTTTCTTACTGCAATCAGGCAGTTTAATATCAGTCATCTGGGCACTTGACAAAATTTAGAGAGAAACTACCAGATGACAGACAGTTTTGAGAATTTAGCTTCTCCCAAGTCATCCCCCCATCTCGATCTATGCTGTCAGTTTTCTACCGAGGGATGCTTTATCTGAAAAGGCCATGAAAGTATCACTAAAAACAAGGCTAATGAAGTAGTTAAATCATTTATTTGATCTCCAGACATCCCCCTAATTAGCAGAAATTACATATAAAGCTATTCTTGGAAGATTCAGGTTGACATGTTTCTGCATCTGCTGTGCCCTTCAGTTGGAAGGTAGGCAGTGAGCCCCCACAAGAGAAAACAATTTCTACACAAAAACAGAGCAGTAACAGCATTTAAGCACTAACAAATGTAGCACTCAAAGAGGTTACATCATTGTGTTCTATGCAATTTTTAGGACTACTTACTCTTCTGCTTCCTAATCCGTTGACATGTTTCAGAGGACAGAGAACTTTTCAGTGCATCTGAAGATTTAACATCATAGGATCCTCGCAGCGGGGTACATACTAGAAATTAGATTTTTCAGAACAGCAGAGAACTACGGTAAATGAAAGGGTTTTCAGCTTCAATGATTTGAGGCTGGTAACACATATAAGTTCAATCCATTAAAAAGATTAAAAAAAAAAACCATCAACATCTGGAGTCTCAGTTCTCCTCACCCTCCCCATAAACATAAAGGAAATACACAGCACACATGGCAGAGGAAAGGGCTGGTTTATTACACTACTAGTAAAACTAGAAACTATAATTTACATACATAATATCATAAGGCATTTGATTAATTATAGCAGTGCATTAACTTCACTAAATGAAAACCCCAACTAGTTAGAGGGCCTTAATACTAATTGGTAAAAAAGCCAGTCTAAAACTTTAAAGGATAAAATGCAAACTTAATTGTTTTGTTTTTTTTCAGCATCTTCCAGTTTAGAAGCATCTACTTAGATGTTATTGAATGCCAAACTTTTCCTCTAAAGAACTAAGTTACTTAAACTTTTATTAAAAAGTTGTGGGTTTTTTTTAATTAAACGATTTTAAGGAAAAAGGCAGACAGAAACAAGATGGCTACAAATGCTTCATATAACTCTTATTACAGCCAAGTAGTCAGTAAGTGTTTTACCTACTTACTTCACCTTCTGCAAAAGAGAGCAGCTTCATTTAATATGAGAACAGGTGACAGCAGCAGAGGTGTTCAGCTACAGACAAAAGCTCACTGAAAGAAGTTCTACATTCGAAAGTGCTCTCAGGAGCAGTACTTCAGTTGTGACTTAAGACTCACGATACCAGAATGCCAACAATCGTAGCTTGTCACTGGTTTATTTACTACACAAATATCCACGTATATGCTCACCGCTATACTTAACACCCGTTTACCTACGACCGGCATTCGACACGAAGTCAGGACTTTTTTCCCGAAGAGGAGACTCCTACGATGGCTTCGGCAAGGGGCCCTCAAACGCACGGTGACAGGCACCTCCCCGCACAGGGGACTGGGACACACTGAGGCAACAGCAGGCCAGCACCCTCGCAGGGCTCGGGCACCCTCCCCCCGAGGCCAGCAGGCCCCAGCGGACCTACCCGAGCTCTCGTTGAAGCGGCGGAGCGGGGCCCTGGCGAAGGCCATGGCAGCGGACACAGCCCAGCGCGGCGGAGCGGAGCGCCCTCAGCTTTCAAAGGCACCAACGGCCGCCGCC